TTCATTTTCATTACATCTAAGTAGATGTGAATTATTCAAGGAGTTAGTAGATGTGCATCATTCAAGGAGTTGCTGGATGTGAATAAATATGCAGGAGAACAAACAAAGGTGTTGAGTATTTGGTTGAAGCATCAGCTGCAGAAGCCGAGGCTATCAGTGCCACTCTGGCTGCTGCCAAGGCACGACAAGTTAATGGAGAAGTTGAACTTCCTGATAGAGATCGTGGAGCAGAGGCTACTCCTAGTGGGAAACAAATATCAACTTTGATTAAGCCTGATTCTGCTGGATCGAACAATATTGTTCCTGCTGGAGTTCGGTTACATCACAGAGCTGTCAGTATAAAAAATTAACAAACCTTTTGAATATCATCTCAAGTCAATTTTGGCATGAAATGTGCATATTTACATCAGACTTTATATCTGAGACTGCCTTTTCAGGTTGTTGTTGCTGCTGAGACTGGTGGAGCTTTAGGTGGCATGGTTAGACAGCTGTCAATTGACCAGTTTGAAAATGAAGGCAGGCGGGTAAGTTATGGGACCCCTGAGAGTGCAACTGCAGCTAGGAAACTACTGGATCGACAAATGTCCATCAATAGTGTGCCGAAAAAGGTATTTGACCATTCAATTTGAAGTACATTTGTGTTGTGGATTTGAAAATGCTGCTAGATGCATCTTTATACAACATAGCCTATGTGAGCAGTTTGTGCTGCTGACCTGAATTAGTCTGGAAATATTGATATTGTTAATTCTCTTGCTTTAGCACTTTAATTCGTATACTGCTGGGGTTGTCTTCAACATAAATCAAATTGTCCGTATGTTGATTGATAGCTAAGATAGGCATATGCATCGTGGAAAGAAGTCAAGATTCAGTTTAACTACTTCTGTAGTTTGAGATCTTGGGCTCAGTTGACATGTTCCAAATTGAGTCTGAGTATCAGAATATCTCAGTGTTGCTGAATGCTACCATATTGGCTTTCTAATTCAACTGAATAACTCTTTTTCAAACTACTTCCTGTCTGATTATATACTATTTGGCATAAATTCTAATAGATGTGGAATCCCTAGTGTCAAGGGCCATATAATCATTCTTTTCTACCTTTTGACTATGGGATAGTTGTATGTTGTGCTTTGTTAGAACATTAGCACCAAGGTCTTGAATACATCTACCTTTCAATTCAGGATACAAGAACTCTGCTATGTTGCTGAATTCTTCCCAAATCCCTTAGCTTATTGCTGTGTTTCTTCCCCCCATCTGGACTACCTTATGGTTTAGTGATTGTTTTGGTTGTAGTTTTCAAGTATATACAACTGTCTTGCTTTGCACTGCTGTTTCTAACCTAATTTCTAGCATTCATCCAAACCATTTGTTTTCTTTTTTTTTGGATCAAAGGAAATTGTTTGAAATCAAATAATTGCTCTTTAGACTTGTTTTAGTGTTGTTTGATCCTCCCCTTTTCAACTTAATTCTTTTTCTTGGGTTCCTTAGTTGTAAGAAGTGAAGTTTTGTTAGATGTTGTAAGCCTTCAATGTTCATGGGCACCTGTTTTTGGTATTTTAAGTGAATCACTTACCAAGACTTAATTTTCTTCTCAAATTTTCTGTTTTGTAGTTTAATGGGATTTGCTTCTATTTTATCAGGTCGTAGTGCATCTCTTAAAGCCTCGTGGCTGGAAACCACCAGTTCGCCGTCAATTTTTCTTAGATTGCAACGAAATAGCAGATCTTTGTGACAGTGCTGAAAGGATATTTTCAAGTGAATCAAGTGTTTTACAGCTTAAGGCTCCTATCAAGATATTTGGTGATTTGCATGGGCAATTTGGGGATCTGATGCGCCTTTTTGATGAATATGGCTCACCTTCAACTGCTGGTGACATCGCGTAAGCATTTTTGCGATTATTATTAGGTTCTCCCACATTCTGCCTGCTGATTCATGTCACTTAATAATGAGATAAAAGTCCTGAAAGACAGACTGATAATGGTGGATTTATTTTTTTCCACTTCCAACAGAGTAACCTATTAATTTTGTTGAAAGCTATCCTCCCACAATTTCATTCCATGAGTCGTATCATCTGATGAATTTTTATATTTTCGGATCCCTTTGGAATCTAAGCCCAACATATGCTGCCTGACAGAATCTTCTATAAAGTGTTCATCTGGAACCATTTTTCTCAGTAATCCTCTTTTAAAATACAAAACCCCTCACCTATAACCTGCCTTGCTGAAAATGAGAAGCAACAAATTTCCCATGCACCAAATCATATGTACTCCATGCAAAAGTCCCATGAAAAGATTGCTTTGCAATCTCTAAATCCTTTTGTACATAGTAATCAGTAAAGCAATCTCTAAATCCTTTTGTACAAAGTAATCAGTTAATCTGTGCAAAGTTTAAATGCTTGATGCCAAGGATTAATTTTGGTTTGGATTTCAAATTGGTCTGGTGAAAATGTTTATAGACCACAGCAACCCATTTTTATATCGTAGTGAACTCAGATGCTTTATACAATTTTCTTTTCCATGGCTACCCATATTTATACCTTGAGAGGTGATCTTTTGATTATTACATCTACAAGCAGTTCTAGGTTGCTGCTAAGATTTGCAAAATCAGGTATTTGTATAGGGTAAAGGGGTTAGGGATTTGTATATTGATCCAGTCGAAGGCTGTCAAGTGTTGCTCTTTTTGGCTGTCAAGTGTTGCTCTTTTTGGCTGTTTGTTGCAAGATTTGGTGGCAGGACGTGGGAATTGAGGTTTGGATTACAGTGAATGGGGTGGGAGTTGAAAATGCTCAGTTTTCATGTGTTCATAAATTTTTTCATGCCTGTGTGCACATGCAGAGATTCACATGTTTGTTAGGTTTATGAGGCGGCTAATTGTATTCCATTAATTTCAGGTATATCGACTATCTGTTCCTAGGAGATTATGTTGATCGGGGCCAGCACAGTCTGGAGACCATAACTCTTCTGCTTGCTTTGAAGGTATTTTGGTGCGGCTGCTTCTCTCCCTCTCTTTGAGGGTGGGGTGGAGAGTTATTGCTCCTTCTCCACGTAAACAATCCTTTTGATTCACTTTAAACTTTGCCATGGATCTTGATGCAAGCTCCGCAAATATTGTTTGACTGTTGTAGGTTGAGTACCCCAACAATGTACATTTAATTCGTGGGAACCATGAAGCTGCAGATATCAATGCCCTTTTTGGCTTCCGGATTGAGTGCATTGAGCGAATGGTACTTTGTTATACATATTTGACGTCTTATCAACTTGTTAGTTACAAACTAAATGGCTTGATGAACAGGGTGAGAGAGATGGAATTTGGGTTTGGCATCGGATAAATCGATTGTTCAACTGGCTTCCTTTGGCAGCACTAATTGAGAAGAAAATCATTTGCATGCATGGTGGTATTGGTCGCTCAATAAATCATGTGGAACAGATTGAGAGTCTACAACGTCCAATTACCATGGAAGCGGGCTCAATTGTGCTCATGGATTTGTTATGGTCAGTGCTCCTGCCATATTGTCTCTCATTTACTTATTTATCTATAATGACATTTTTTCTCTTCTGCTATAGGTCCGATCCCACAGAAAATGACAGCGTGGAAGGACTGCGACCAAATGCTAGGGGTCCAGGGTTGGTAACATTTGGGGTAAGAGCAGTTGTATTTGTGTTTAACTCATTACTGCAGGTTGTTTCATGGTTTATTGGTCTGTTGCCTTGTAACTTGTTCCTAAGGTCTGTTTGAATTACTAAAACATTTTTTGAAATAATAATGATACTGTTTAAATTAAACTCAAAGCATGTTCTTATTTTTATCTACTTAATTAGGCTTACATCTGTTCCATGCTCTCAAATTTCTTTCATGTTATAAGATGAAGAGTTTTTGGACTTCTCCTTCTTATTAAAGTTGTGATTATAGGATTTGTTGTCATTTGGCTGGTTTATTTGATTTCAGCACTGGTTGTCGTGTCCATGATGACTATTTATGTCAACTCAGTTCTTTCCTTGCGTATTATACTCATTGATTGAACCATATGGAGTTGACCTAGTGGAGAAGAGCTGGGACTTGGCAGTGTGCTCCTGTCCAAGATCTCAAGTTTGACTCTTCCCAGGTGCAAACAATTCCATGGGGCCATCGGACTTGGGTAAAGCCCTTGAATTAACCATGGTGCACTTACAGGAAACTCTTTGCCGAGGGCCTGTGCACCCCAAAGATTAGTCGGGCCTTGGCCTGGATACCTGGTGCTAATCCAAAAGAGAAATTATGCTCATTGAGAATGGTTTCTTCATTTGCAGCCTGATCGTGTTATGGAGTTCTGCAATAACAATGATCTTCAGTTGATTGTACGCGCCCATGAATGTGTGATGGATGGCTTCGAGCGCTTTGCTCAAGGACATTTGATTACACTTTTCTCTGCCACCAATTATTGTGGTATTTACTCATCAACTTAAACTAGCTAGTTATTTTTTCCAAGATTCATGGTTAATTTTAGCAATTCTATTCTTGCCTGTTTCTGCAGGTACTGCAAATAATGCAGGGGCAATCTTAGTTTTGGGAAGAGATCTTGTGGTGGTTCCCAAACTCATTCATCCTTTACCACCAGCAATTTCATCGCCAGAAGCTTCACCTGAACGTCATATTGAAGATACATGGATGCAGGTGCTGTTGCATTTCAAAGCCTAATATTTTGACTTATTGTTGCGCTGACCAGTGATCTCTATCCTGTTTCCACTGTTTTTCTAATGACAGGAGTTGAATGCTAATAGACCTCCTACACCAACTAGAGGCCGTCCTCAAGTAACAAATGATCGGGGCTCTCTTGCTTGGATATAATAGATGTGCTTCTGATATTTACATATACTTCATTCTGGGCTTGTGCTTGCACCTTGGGTTTCTGGCATCTGTATAGAGCATGATGGATCCAGGAATTCCTGAACTTGTGATCGCTGTTCCTGACAAAAAAGTGAAGGCTTTCTGATTTTTAATTTTATGCGCAATTGCTAGGCCTTGAGATGGTTAAGCTACAAGTTCGAGAACCAGGTTGCAGGAGGCGATTGGTTTCCCTTTCTTGTGCTAACGGTTGCAGTTCAGGACCACTCGCCGGTTGTAAATTGAGCCACAAGCAGGTAGAAGTCGTCTTCCGGGTTGTTTATCACGATGGGTTGGTAGTGCTGGGTATTTTTCACGTTAGTTTTAATATATATTTTTTCCATTCCTCGTCTTAGGCCTAATATCTTTTTTATGAGGGCACGAGGTCCTTGCATGTGATGATGAGATACATAATGTCAAAAAGCTGTGGGCGGTCGTCGTGGATGTATAATAGAGGTGTTGTGTAATTCCCATTTATGCACCTTGTACAATATAATTTGTGTGAAGATAAGAAACCTTTTGGTCCCACAAAGCTTGGAAAGTTTTTTGTCAGAATGGCCTTTGGTGCCTTTTGCTGCCAGAACTAGAGTAGAACTTGGGACCTGGATTGTTTTGAGAAGAGTTGGTTTCCATTATTTATATCATTTTTGTTAAACAGAAGAATGCATTTTCAGGTCTTCGGTTCTGCTGGATCTCTCTCTTCTTTGCTTTGATCTCTCCTTTACTACCACTTTTGTGTACTGTCATCCATCCTTATGGATTTTGTCAGCTACAGGAATGTCTATCAACAAATGGAAGCATGCTTTTCATTCATCATGCGGGGTAAAACAGATTAAGAAGATGAAGAAGTAATAAGAAATAAAATGATAAAAAGAAGTCAAATAAAGAGAAGTGAAAGACGAAGAAAAGAAGGAATGCAGAAGCTTGTAGTTCTGTAAATTTTATTCAATTTATTAAAAGTTATTTAGCATTTAAAAGATAACATATAAATATAAAAAGTCTAACTAGAATAAGCTATTGAATTTATAGCTCGCTAAATAAAATATTAAATAATAATTAAATCAAGCATAGCAAATAAACCAAAGTAAAATTTAAAATAGCTCAGTAAATAGAATATCCAACATGATAGTTAAATTAAATCTAATAAATAATTTTAAATATAATTTATTAGCACAAGGGTTGGACTGTCTCCTGTTATCATAGATTATATAGATTTCTGAACTATGTCGCGAGTTTAATATCCATTAATTTAAAAAGGATCAAACTGCTATAATATTTCTATGTTAATTCAAAACAATAGTTTGAATTTGTTCACCTAACTTATATATTGAGATTATCTAAACTTTACAATTCCTAGTAAAAACAACTTATATATCTGAAGTAGTATTAATACGTTCCTTTTGTTCTTCTGATGAGTAATGAGATAGAGATATCAAAAGGAACAACAAAGATAGGTTGTATTTTATATTTAATGAGGTCTTTTTAGAATTAATATAAAAGTTTGAGCAGTTTGGTAAAAAGAAATGGTTTTTTGGGTAATGGTGTTGCCTGTAGTTGTTGTGAAGTAGAGGTAAGATTGCTATGCTGTATATTAACATCATATCTGGAGCTGCATGTGATGGTCACAGCCCTCTCATTATCCCACTCATTATTGTTCCTTTAATCTATTGGTGACAGATTAGCCCTTCACAGTTTGAGTCTCATGCTGGAATGTCTGCCAGGCGTCCGCCGTGAGTAGCCTTTGGAAGTAGCTGGACCTTTCCCTGGTTAATTGATCTCTTTCTTATTCATAATCAAGTGTTCTCTTATGCAGCTACCGTCACATTTATACTTATAATGAACTGAGCCTCCACGATATAGCTATTTCGTTGGCAAATGGACAAAACATTACCACAGGTATTGGTGATGATATGTGTGCAGAAGGTGGAGATGGAGGGGATCTAATGTTTTTTCAGAGTTGCCCTCGTGCTTTTCATGCAGGTGAATGTTCTCTTCACTACCCGGAACTCTGTTTTCTACTTGTTTTCAGGTGTGTAGTTTATGAACATTTCATTTGCTTCTACTCACAAGACTAGTTTCTTGTCATTTCTTTCCCCTGCATTTTCCATCTTCTGAAGTACTGCCTTCAAATTCATTCTGCATGCTTAAATTGTCATAACATAAGAATCTCTTCTCCATGCTAGGTGGGTTGGGCTGCTTTTACTTGTCTCACTGTCTCAACCCACATCCCTTTCTGCTGGTGCATTTTTCTCAAGTTCCATATGACAGAAACTGTTTTTTCTGCTCTCGAATATTCGTTGGTGGAAAAAAAAGATTACTCCCCAATTTAAATAGAGTGCATTGTGATTTATAATTATTGAAGTTTACCTTCTTTTTTCATGAATACTTGTCCATTTCATCTTATATTTGTTTGTGCTGCAGCATGTTTGGATTTACAGGACACTCCTGAAGGTGCTTGGCGTTGTCCAAATTGACGAAGGCAATTTTGCAAGACCTAATGTCATCCGGCTGACTCGAGTTGTTAAAACTCCAGAATATGATGTTGGTGGTTGTGTTGTTTGCAGGTTAAATCTCTTGAAATTTCTAATAGATTTTACCCTAGCAAATAGTAGGATGTCATTTTTTTAGGCAAAGAACTTGATGTTAGTATAAAATTGGCCAATGACCTTTTTGTCACTCCTACGATTATATATTTCACCAAGGATGTAATTTTTTAACTTTTGCATGGTCTTTGTAAGGTCTGTATTTTACGAGCTCAGAATGTCCTTGCTTAAATTTTCATACACTAAGTCAAGATTATGGAGCGTTAATTTATCTGGTTGATTGTACCTTTCGTTGGATCATTGTGGCAACTTTACGAGGAGAGGGCAATGAGTTACTGATGAAATAAGAAATTCACAATAGCAGCTGATTAGCGGAGATGGAATTAATTAGTTATTAAGGATTACACAGCTTTTGTAGAGCAATAGATTAGTTAATGCTTCCATTAATATAGAATTCCTAGCAACCAAGAGCTCCAAGCCCCAAGTTCCTTTTGTAGAAGGGTTTCCTACCGGTCAATGAACACAGATTTGTTTTTGAGTTTTCCTTGATCTTTGCTTGTTTAGTTCAATTTAGTCATTCATCAAATTTTGCTTTTGGTTCCTATAATCTTTATATATGCTTTTCTTACTATAGATGCTTACTGTTATGCTCTCTTTCAGTGCGAAAAGGAGTTCATGTTGGTTACTTGCGGGAAAGTGGACTATTTGATCTAAAAGTAAGTCCATTATCTCAAAACAGCTTGCGTTTATGATCTTCCAGAAGTATTTACTATTTTTTTCTTGAATATTTCACCATAGGAAATCCCCGAAGATAAATGGTTCTGCTGTCAAGACTGCAATAATATCTATGTATCTCTCCCATCAGAATTCTGTTTCTACTGGAGTGCAGAAAATTCCTGGTTCGCTGTTAAATATCATAAATATAAAGCATGTCGAGAAAGGACTACTTGTTGGTGAAACTGCATGTGATGTGCAGTGGCAAATTCTGATGGGAAAGAGGTGCGGTGGCAAATTCGGATGGGAAAGAGTCGCAACCGAGAAGATCTTTCATTGCTTTTGCAATTTTTCGAGTAAGTTCTTGTGTGCCTTCTTGGATTTCTGCTTCCTTTTCCCACCAACACAAGCAGCTATTATGCAGAGAACTGTGTGAATTTGCCTTTAATTTATTCTTTTTTCATCTTCAATATCATTTTTTGGATGTCTTTTTTCTTGGGTACATTTATTGAAATGATAAAAACTGGAGGTTGAGGTAGATATTAATGCGAGAAATTTTAGTTTGGCAAGTGAAAAAATAAGTTGTGTTTTACTATTTATTTCCTTTTCTCTTCCTCTTTGCAAAAGAGAAAGAAATCTACATATTTTTCACTTTTACAGACGAAGAAAAATGCACTGTCCACATTTAATTCACGGGGAGAGTCCAATTCATTTTATCAAGTGTTTAGCTCATAACAGAACAAAATGGAGGAAAGGGGGGAGTGGATCCTTGAAGTCAGCCCCAGCTAGTTTGGAATTGAGTCTTGGTCTAGATGAGTTGAATTGAGCACTGAGTCAAATGGACAAGGAACCTTCTGAATAAAAATATCAAACAGAAGAGCTTTTAGAAAATGCGGAATGCTACCTTATGAAACTCCTTTCAAAGCTCATGTGAATCATTAGCTCTCCGCTATCAACAGAAAAAGGGAAAAGCAGAGGAACTAACGCCGTCCGTCCACCTTGAGAAAAACTAATAATTTAAATCTTGCAATGTGAATGATGATGAAGATGATAGGAAAATTAGAAAGGTCCTTACCTGTAAAAGGATTGGAATTGTGTTTGTTGCGACTTAGCTGAGGGCCTGGCATGGCTTTGATGTTCATGCTGTTACTTCAAATGCTCGTTTAAGCCATGAGTAGGGTTTGTCACCTGATGCTTTGTGCAAGTCAAAGCTTTTCATTTTCCTTATATTGTGATATGAATTTTCATCTTAAATGTGAAGTTAATCAGTCATGCTTTTCAAATGAATCATGATAATTCTATCTCATCAGAATTTAAGGCTAATTATTAATTTTCTTCTTTGCTATGTAGGCGCTCTAGAGAGTGGAAATTATTCTCACTTGACATGTGCTATCGCATTCTGGGTTACAAAGGAAAATTTGGTTGGATGAAAGTTTGGCGAACAAGAGAAATGAGAAAATCTCTCTTTTTTTTTTTTTGGCCCCTAAATTATAATTCATGATAATGAAGGGATTGGAACGAAGGGTTCTTATTTTCAATTGTTCCCTTGTGCATTCATCCCCTCCCACGTTACACCAGTAGAAGACTGATGTTCTATCCTTCTGCCTTCACTTCTCAATCACTTTCTCTTTCAACGAGCTAGAGTATTGAGAGACGAGAACATTCTGAAGAGAATTTACATGCTTCGTTTAGCAGCATCAATGGCTGGTTCTGGTTGTCTGCCTCTAATTTCTGTAATTTCTCAGGACTTTCAGAGCTTTAAAGTTCTCTCTTTAACTTTATGCGGGAGAAATATATCTGGCCAGGAATTTGGGGGCATGTATTGTGTGCTTTTGACTATAAGGTACATTGCATTTCATGAAATGTTGGTTTTTTTAAGCTTTCAACTCCCTTTTCAATCCATTATTCTTGTGCATTGAGAGGTTATTGTGCTCCCTGAATGTGGAACAACTGGTGCTACCAGCAGCTGAGTCAATCTGGACAAGAAGACTAGGCTTCAGAAAGATTAGCGAGGGACAAGTAAGTTTTGTCTTGTATTCGTTAATGAATGGTCAGATTTATACTTCTTTTTATGAATCAATAAAGCGATGAAATGCTCATAAAAATTGAGAAAATAGCAAGCTTCCTTGTTTTGGTCATAACAGAATAAATTGTTTGTGCATGAAATGCAATGGATAACTTTATAAAGAAGAGGAAGAAGGATTGGGGAGGTGATATCTGCACTCCTTTCAGGCGCTCCCACTATCCATTATTTTTCAAATTGATGGTTTCTCTTAGTTGAAATTCTTGCTGATCTTTCTATTTACTGTCTTAATTTCCCTGTTTTTAAAACAAATTATTCTTCCAAAAACTGCATGACACCAAAAACATTATTCTTCCAAAATACATACATGCTGCGGAGCATTCTTTTCCCTTTACACTCTTGCAAAACCATCTAGAAAACCCAAAACCATGGAGTCTAAAACTTGTGTCCTCTCCTCACTCATGACTCATAGCCTGACAGCTAGACTCCAAAAAGCCCAACCGCTGTTAAGCTGGTCGCAACTAATGTGGCAAAATAAACAATTTTCCTCACCATAAAATTATTGTGTATGACCCCGTACCATGTATTTATTGATAGAACCACTACATTAATTAGTAAGTTGTCTTTGAATTAAAAGATGAAAAGCCACTATAGATGTAGTGTGAAAAATAGAAGAGAGGAGAAAAAAACTGAGAGAGAAAGAAAGAAGAAGAGGCAGCAAAGTAGTTTATGTTCTTCCTCCGATTTCCAGCTTGTTCACCGTTGGATCGGGCTGAGATTTTGACGGCAGCTTCTAGACATGTTACTCTTCATTCGAGATGGTTGGATTGAAGACTGGTGGTGTGTAAGCTGGCCGTTTTGATAGAAAATAGGGCTGTCAGTATTGTGAGTTTTTCTCAAATAATTCTCATTTAATCTTGTTGTAATCCGAGAATAAGTTGTTCTTGATGATATATATGTTATATTCCTTAGTTGAATCTGAGGAAGAATAATTGTGAACCTATTATTTGTTGATGGTGGAAGTTTTTAGGTGGACTACGGTCCCATGGTTTTTTCCGCGTTGGGTTTTCCCCATTAAAATCATGGTGTTGATTTGTGTGATTATTTGCATTATATTTGGTCATTGTTTGATTTTGATTTTACTGCACAAAGAGGGAAAGTATTGGGACTTGTATTCCGCTGAATTATAATCCAGGTAAATTGGTGTTCGGTTGTTCCTAGTTTTCCCAAAAAAATGGTATCAGAGCACTGGTTGTATAGATTGAATTTCTTATGTAGTTAAAATGAAAAAGAAAGATTCAAGCATGATAAAGCTCACTTCCTCTAATTATTTTCTTTGGAAAACAATAATGGAGGATCACTTATATTACAATGATTTGGCTTTGCCGATTGAATGTAAATGAATAAAGCTTGATGAAACGAATGATGCAAAATAGAATGGGCTTAATAGAAAGGCTACTGCTAATGTTAAAAAATGGGTATCTTCTAAGTCCATTAATCATATTTATTAAGAACATGACTGCTATACAGTTTAAAAGATGTTGGAAGAAACATTTGCTAAGGAGAATGCACAAAACAAGGTTTTTATAATTAGAGACCTTGTGAATTTGAAGTATAGAGATGGTGAAGAAGCTTCAGTGCATATAAATGTATTCTAAGGGTTCTTGAATCAACTTTCATTGATAAATCTTGAGTTAGTCGATGAAATACAAGCACTAATCCTATTGAGTTCATTGCCAGATAGTTGGGAGACTTTGGTGGTGTCACTTAGTAATTCTACTTTGAATGAAAAGATCACTTTGAAAACAGTGAAGAATTGTATCCTCAATGAAGAGAAGAGGAAGAAAGGGACAAGCACTTCTGAGTCTCATGCACTTGTTATAGAAAGTCGAGGGAGAAGTCTAAGCAGGTTCTCTCACGGCAAGCAAGATAGAGAATCTAGCAATAGAAAAGACAAATGGAAGTCAAGAGGAAGATCTCAGTCAAGGAAGGGTTTTAAGTGTTATTATTGTGACAAGCCTGAGCATATGCAAAAAGATTGCAGAAAGTATAAAAGAGATAAAAAGGGTAGAGATGAAGACAAGAATGAAGAAAATAATACAACTGCAGTTGTATTTGATGGTGATGTTGCCATTGTTTGTGATGATGGTTGTGTTAATCTTGCATGTCAAGATACCATTTGGGTTGCAGATTCAGTAGCTTCTTACCATGTTACACCCCAACGTGATTTTTACACATCCTACACTGCAGGTGACTTTGGTTAAGTTAGGATGAGAAATCAAGGGATGTCTAGTGTTGTGGGCATTGAAGACATTTGGTTGGAAACCAATACTGGGTGCAAGTTGCTACTCAAAGATGTTAGGCATGTGTTTGATATGCGCCTACACTTGATCTTTACAAGTACT